CCCCCTTCTCTCCACCCTCCTCCGTCTGTTTTCGATGTGTGTGTACGGATAGCATGTCAGAGGAGAAAATGGACATCGATGAGGTGTGCACTCTCATTCGTTACTTTTAGATTTTTGCTGCACTTTCTTTCAGGTGCCAGAATGTTTTTGACATATCAGCTGTTTCCCACTTCTTGCTCTCCATCACCTTAGACGGATCTTCTTTACTACCTTGTATGTGATGTTGCTCGAGGGCCGGCTGGGACCAGCTCCATCTATCACTTGTGGATCTTGTTTCCCAGAAAACAAAATGTATGTGATTCTGTATTCTGATGTTCAGCTTGTGTTTCTGTCAGACCGGACCTTTCCTCAACCCCTTATGACAGTACATGCCTACATATTTTAGGACCTTAAGTGCTCTGAGACTGGCTCACTTTCTCCTCTAGCTTGTTGGGTTGTTAAGCAAGTTAGGAGAGGTGGAGTGGTTACAAAAAAAAAGAAAAGGTGGTGACAACTCAGCTCACGATTGCATGGTGTTGCAGGAACAGTAAGCTCAGATTAGTCACCGTGTAGCGCTCCTGGACGGGGGGAAATGGTGTTTTCTGGTTTCTAAAGTGTTCAGTTTACCTCATACAGTGGTGTTGGTGTTGCAGACAGGCAGCACGGCGAGTACTTAGACTTGCAGGGACAACCCAGGGACACTAGAGGACAGTTGCATGAAGCCAAAACACCAGGGGCCTCATTTATCAGCCAAGCGTAAGCTATCAAATTATCAGTTACACTTGTCAAGACCTTAGTGCTAACCTTAATGAGGGACTACATAACAACATGACTGCACTTAAGCTTAGCCTATGGACATTATAAACTGTGACATCACCACAACCCTGTATCCATTTACTGATGCTCAAGGCACGCCAGACTCACTGTAATATTCTCCTGAGCGGCAGATGTTGCCTCTCAGGGAAAAACAAAGAAATCATATCAGTGCTGGTGGGATTAAAAGAAATCCAAACTGGAATCAAAAGGATTGCAGACTTTGTTTTGTAGAAAGTCTCGCCATTTCCAGCTGTAGTAGTCTCCGTCTTTGTAATCTCGGAATCACAGCACTATTCCACTGATATATCATGGAAGCGACCCGCTCGTACAGCAGGTTACAAAAATCAAGAAGTACACGACAATCTGAAACACCAAAGTGTAGCGCACGCCGGCAGTTTTGATGTCACATTTACTGCACACGGTTGTTTGTGAGGCCAACAGCAGGCTCTATTCTAATAGGCATCAAGCTTTTCTCCAGGATGTTTGGGTTACTTGTCATTAATTATGACCCCAAAAAAGTTCCGTTTTATCTTAGTACCTCCTAAAAAGTCATTAAAAAAATAGAAACAGAAATTTCGCTGTCAGAATTGTTATGTAGCATTATTTCTGCCATTGCACTTACAGTAACAGTTATGACGGGTAGCTACAGTAATATTATACGTGCATTGTGGACACAACTACTACGGTGGTCCCGAGTGGTCAAATGCAAATAAACTTTTGAGAGAACACCAGGAAATAGAGAGACACTGCAGAGGCACACAAAATACAACTAAAGTACAAAAATAACACTTTAAAAAAGAGATACACTTCAAAGATGTTGAGGGTTCATCAGTGTTGTGAGGAAGAAAAAGATGCAGATGAAGCGTTTTAATAGTGAGTCATATAATGCTGTAGCTACATTTTTGCTGTTTAATGTTAGCTTGTCACTTCCGCCACTGTTCCGTGAAGTTATCGTCTCTTTTTTCTATTTACATTGTTTTTTTAATTTAACTTCATTGGTTTTTGTGAGATTTTGCAGCTGCTGTGTTCTTTTTTTGAGAGAACATGAAAGAAATTCAAATGATAAGTTTTTAAAATTTATTAAATAGTTGAAGGTTCAAGTTACACATGGCGCCATAGGCATCCCTCTTTCCTGTATTTGGTCTGGTGTCCGGCTCATGCTTCATCTCTGCTCCAATCACAGGTCTTCTTCCTGTAAAGGAAAACTCCTTCCTATCTCCCTGTTGCTATGCAGTCTAGTAACTTTCCACGGCAGCCTCTCAATGACTTCACATGCATGTGGGTCCTGCGCCACACCCTAAAACAAAGCACAAATGTGTAATTTAAAGATAAAAAGTAAATTCCTGACACATAATTTTTCTGTTATGCTGTTTTCTTAAGTTGCAGGGCCACCATACAATACCAACGTTTACTTGTGAAATATTGGTGTAAACAGTTCATGGTTATTGCGACACCCATTGTGGGAAAAAAGATTACCGTTTTTATAACAAGTCAGTGTTCACTTCACCAGACGACTGGGGATGGCAACCGTCTTAATAAATACTAGCTAAAATCAAGGAGAATGGCACTGATGTTACTAGCTAGCTGGAAAACAGAAAATTAAAATGACAAGCAAAGTGTACGAAAGTTCAACAGTGTCAAATGCCCCTAAATGTTCACAAAAACCTTCAGTCAATTGGTTCTAAAATCTTTTTTCTCCACATTCACATGCTCCTCGGATGGTCCGAGTAATTTAGAACTGACATCATTCTTCAGACTTCAATGTGCAAGAAAGATGTTGAAAAAATGGAAGCGCTGAAAGCATTTAAACACATTGCATTATTGATCATTGTCAGTATTAACCAACAACAATATGACGAGTGAGCAAATGTCTCCTTTCTGATTTTCAAGTTAGTTGTCTATTAAATTACTACAGAAAACACTGACGTGCCTACAACTCTGTGCTGCAGGCCCCATTCCATGCATCCCACAGAACGTCATTTTTAGTTCTGATAAATGAGGCCCCGAGATCTTTGAGTGCCTCTGCTGCATAAATCTAATGAGGCAAAAGTGCAATATAGGAGGGAAAAAACAAACAGCTGGGGTTAATGTCCTACTTTGTGACATCTTCACTACTGATGGCTCAGCTTGTCAGTATCACAGAGTTGGTGCATGTGACTAGCCAGCCACCCAATCTATCAAACCGTTGACTCTTACATCACCCTTAGACAAGCTGATCAACCGCTATCTTTCACAGACTAGCAAAGGGCTGTGTTACTGTCAGCGTGTGAGGAGTGTGAGGAGTTTTCAAGGGCTGATCCGTGTGATTTTCTTTCTTTTTTCCTTTCTTTTTTTTTTTTTGCATGGCTGCTGCTAGTAAAGTGCACATTTACATGAGGATGGATCATGCAGGGATTAAGATTAGTTTGAACTCGCCTATTAGGCAGCAGAAATAGGGATTTGAACCACCCGTGAGCAAATACTGACAAAAAACGTACACTAAGTACACCAAATCTAAATGAAGACATTCTTGTTTTGCTGATGGTGAACTTTGTTTCCAGATTGGCTTTTTCCTCATTTACAGCCTTACATTATTTACCACCCATCAATTTGCTCTTCGCTCACATGTCAGAGCGAAACGATAAAGTCCAAAAGTAAGTCAGGTTTTTAAGATGTCCATAGTTTTGCCCCTACGTCTACCACCGCCACAACCATTCCACATTGGCTCTATTTTTATTTTTTTATTTTTTTGAGATTTGTTTTGATTTCCTTGACAAACTCTGTTGACAAGAACTTACATTCCCTTGAAGACAGCAGTGGATGTAATAGACCCACACTTTGTGCTCCCTCCTTCCTTCAATCTCTAGCTGTTCATGATATGAGTCCTGTGGATCTATGCAGATGAACCCCACCCCGAATCAACATACCACTTTCCAGCACCGCCCCCACGCCAATCCATCCACCGGCTCCCTGTCCTTTATGTTGTAAATATGTCCTGAGGATGTGGAATCCCAAATATCTTCCCTAACCTCTCCCTACTTCCCCCACTGTTGGAATCTCACTGTGTTTTCTGTTTGGCTCCTTGGTTTTTGTCTGTTTTTTGAGACCTTTGCTGCATTTTTCTGTTGTCTAAAGCTGTGGTGTGAGTTGAGGAGATGAAAGAGGTCTTAAAGGAAAATATACAAAAAATGAAGCTTGGATTGAGAAAGGGTTCAAATATAGAGGAAAAAAATCTGATAAAGTTGTCATATTGTCATACTAGAGATGCTTTAGTTTGCTAATTTACTTTCTTTTTTTTCTACAAAAGACTTGGATGAAATTATTTATAAAATGCGTCCCACGAGTCATGACCTTTTTTGGACGTAAAACAAATACATTTATTAACATTTTGTTCAAAAGAAAATAAATATAAATTATGTTAAACATTACTGCTGTTTGTGCTTTTTCCCCCAGTGTCTGTATCATTGATTATTGAAGAGCTGCAAAGCATTTACAGTGGGGCAAAAAAGTATTTAGTCAGCCACCGATTGTGCAAGTTCCCCCACTTAAAATGATGACAGAGGTCAGTAATTTGCACCAGAGGTACACTTC